AGGACTTAGGGTCTGAAACATTACTGTAGAGTGCCAAGATATCTGAACTTTGGCACTGATAATTTGCAGCTGACCTGCCTGGTTTGACTGGTCTGGCTTGACAGCTTAGGGAGACACTGAAAGTTTAATCAGTGAGCTCTTCTTCACCCAAGCTCCTGGTATGAGTCAAAGCATACAGGCTAGAGGTATAGCTTGTTCCAGATACCCAAAAACTGAGTCTACAGGGAGCCTGTGCTGGGGAAAGACACCCAGAAGCACTAAAACAACTTCAGGCAACAGAACTGCCAGTTTGGACACATATTTTAATTTTAGCTCTGATAAAACACAGGATTCAACTTTCTTTGGGACAGTAGGTGTCAAGTAATATCTACTTGTTTTCTCAACAGACAGCTTGCTCAAATACTGCTTGGGGTGGTAATGTTAAACCTAACCAGCATATTGAATTCTAGATTTCACTGTTCATTGCTATGTCTCCCATGTGTATTGGAAACAGTATTAAATATAGTATTTTTTCATTTTTGAAAAACTAATGTCTACATACAAACATTTACACAGTAATCAGCTCTGTATCTGTATCTGGAATTGGGAAGTTAATCTTTGACTAGCTAGTTACAAGTGTTACATGTAAAGTTATTGTATTTTTCTAAAAAGTCAGGGCTGTTTGAATTTAGTTATTTTTCCTTATACTAGTTATTCAGTCCCTTAAAACTACAGTTTACTAACCTACAGTAGGAGGGTGTTAAACCAGCTATTTTAGAGACAGTGAAGCATATTTGAGTTAAAGTAGGGACAAGAAAAGATACTCAAAAAAAGAAAAGATACTCAATTTTTGACAAGTTGAATTTAAGATGCCTATGGCACATCCTCATACTTATGTGTATGTAGGTCGACATTCAGGAGAAAATAGACACATAGTGACTAAGGGGTCACCATGGGAGGCTATGTCAAATAAGTAGAAAACAAGACAAAAAGTGGAAATTAGAACTTGCAAGTGGAATAAAGTGTTTAAAATTGCTTGTCTTCATAGACCAATAATCAACCATCAATTGTCTTGCTGTTTCTCTAAATTTTAAGTTAGTCATCATTAGATTTATGATTAAGCTATCTTATTTATTTACCAAAAACATTTTTAGTATTCTCATTTGTATACTGTAACCATGTTTTCTACTTGATATTACACTGAAAATAAATTAATCTAGTTTTATATATAAAATGCTAAATTTTACGTTAATGAGCTTATCAAGTATTATTTCTAAATTATGCATAGGAGGATTCAAGCACTTTCAAGAACTCTGTAATGAACACAGAATAATCTTCAAGTCATTGTTACTAATGAAAAAATTTTAATTTAGCAAAAATGGACTCCTAGATTTTTAGTGAATTTTTTGAACCAACATATTAATGAAAGAATAATATAATAATAAATTACCCTAACTTACCTAAATCGGCTTCCAATAAATTAAATGGGAAAAAATGCAAATTGTACAGGAAATGCAGATATCTGTAAAGTTACATGTGGATTTTTTTATGATAGTAAATATCTAGTTGGAACAGAAAACTATCAAATTTAAAACCTACCAGAAGTTATTAAAATCCTTACAGAAAATATCAGGCAAAAATTATGTCTCCATCCAGAATGATCTCCTCCAGTATAAATAACACTTACTTGTCCTCTTGTTTATGGAAGCTTACACTATCCATTCAGATTACTTTCAAAAAATTTCAAAATAAAATCAACATTCAAATAATAATTTAGATGTTATATATACTACACCTTCCTTCCTTCCTTTCTCTCTCTACTTCTCTACCTCCCTCTTTCCTTCTCCTTACTTTCCTTCCCTCAAGCTTACTTTTTTTTTCTTATATTTTAGTTTGTAAATAGCCAGATTTCAAACAGTTATCACAAAGTCAGCATGATGTTTAGCTAAGCAAGTAAGTGAAAGAAATAATGACAATAAGAACAGGGTGTGTTTAGCCAATTAGAAGAAAATATATATTTACAAAGTAAATCATACAGAACACCATTTAGAAAGTTTGCTTTTTAGTAATTATAGGAATAGATGACTTAGAAATTCAAACATTCATTATCATTATAATAAAGTTACAATGTGTGCTTAGGTATTTTAAAAATCCTTTTGAGTGATTTCCTACTCTAAATGACTCTGATTTTTGTTACTGAAGCATTATTATTTTATTGGTGTGTGTGTGTGTGTGTGTGCACAAAAGATTACAACAAGAGTACAGATTGCCATGCCCTGGTAATCCAGTCACTCAGTTTTATCTCTTCAGCTTTCTCCATACATTGGTTCCAGTTAAACAGTTTTTAATTCTCCATTAAAATAAATCTCCAGCTAGAATAATGATAATTATTATTATGTTTATAACAATAAGAACAGTAATCGTAGATTACTGTAATATGTAACTCTTGGATATTACAAATTTTCAAGGTACTCAATGAAGCAATTTACTTAATCCTCATAACAACCTCATGAGATTACTACCATTGGTATCACTTTTCAGATAATGAAACTGAAGCACAGAGGCATTAAATAACTTACATAAAATCACGCAGTTAATTAGTGTTGAAGCCAGGATTAGAACCTAAACAATCTGGATCTATACCTGCTCTTTTTCATTACATATTATAGTTTTCAAAAAAATTCCTCTAAACTGAGCACAAGTAACCCTCTATCTAGCACTCTCTTTTTTTCCTTCCCTTTCTCACTCAATTTCAATAAGTGGCTTACTTACACACATTATCTCACTGTCTACTTCTCCTTAAAACTTCAAACATTAAATGATAGCTTCCATTTTTCCGGTCATTCTAGTAATACTCAATTTCCATACTTATTTAGGTACAAAGACTTTATTTTGTATATGAACAACATTGGCCACCAGTAGTATACCCCATTGAGGTTGTCTATTGGAACCTCTCTATCCTTGCAAGTTGGCTCAATTATACCTATGGTAGCCATTCTATCTCAGGGTTTCTATTAGAGCTTCCTCGGAAGCTTAGAAAACTTTTTCAGTTCAAACTAGAGTTGAATGGGAGTATGGAAATAAAGAGAGGTTTAGGTGACAATTTCCAAAGCAATTCTCAACAAAGGAATGAGTTAATCCTATCTAGCTTAATGCCATAGTCTGTCATTCTTCAGAGAGACAATACTAAGGTGCATTTTGTACAGTTCCCCAGAGGGTTTGATTAAAATGATATCAATGTCACTTGATTAAATTTAAAACAACTGAATAAAACACACTTCATTGGCTTTCCCTTTCTCCCAGTCTTACCGTTCCTACTTCCCCATTTGACTTCTTGGAATTATTCCCTACTAAGTTACCTACATTCAATCCTCTTCTGAGGCTCTTGAGAGAGCCCAGTGTAAGACATTATTATTACTGATGCCTCCCTCCCAAAAATATCTCATACGTTGTCTCTTCTAAGATGATCCAAAATTTATAATGAGGCTACATTCTGATAAATTCAGAAACTGAATTTATATAGTATAGTAGGTAAAAGTTCATTTAATAAATCTAACCTACTAAACAGCATAATTTACCTACCCTAACTTCAACATACTCAGAACACTGACATTAGCCTGCAGTTGGGCAATAACTTGTGCTTTATCTCAAAAGTAATTGCTTTTCTATTCTTATCAGAAGCAGGAGACAAAGATTGGCATGTTGTAGACATGCTGAGATACAAAAACATACAAACAATATTTAAAATACTGGCAACACAGAAGACTAGAAAATCAGTTGTTTACTCTCATGTTGATGTATCTGACCAGAAGTTGTGGCTCAATGAGGCTGGCCAGCATCATGAGGGAGTATTTTATTGCATAACACAAACCAAGAAAAGATTTAAAAAATGCAAGTACAACAATGTGAAATATACTTA